GTTCGATGGGAAGCATTTTGCCTAAAAATAATAGGAATTTGCATCCCAGCAATGCATGTGAATATTTAGAGACCAGAGAGAGCTGAAAACTTCTGTTGAGCAAAGCCGCTCCTGTCCCGGATGGGTGCTCGCTGGCAAGTGTTGCCTCCCAGGCCCCCAGGCCCCCTGGGCTCTTCCCTCCTGCATTTACTCCAAGGAAATGGGCCTACACTACTGTTTGCTTGTTCCCTCATGGTGCTGAGGTTCGAACCCAGAGTCTGGTTGGCCTCTAACTCAGGACCCTCCTGCTTCAGCCTCCTGAGTGCTGGGATTTACAGGCTGAGCCGTCCTGCCTATGTGCCAAATTTTCGGGACCTGTTAAGTTTCTGCTGGGACGGAGGAGGATTATTTCTTCCACCCCCACAGTGCCGTCAGAGTTTTTGGTTAAAATTGTGAGCAGTGCGTGTGATTCTGCTCAGGTGCTGTTCAGGTGTAAACTGCGTGCTGTGATCCCGTGGCTTCCGCACGCAGGGTTCGCTGGCCCCAGTTGGGATTTGCTCTGGCTGCCCCAAGGGAGGAGGCTGCCCCAAGGGAGGCCAGGATGGGACCAGCGATAAACCCACTGAGTCTGAAGTCCAGGGCAGAGTGGAGGTGGTGATGGCATGTGCAGGCTCTGTCCGGCGGCCCTGGGGTGGGTGATGGCCGTGACCGCCAGGACGAGAGCCGCAAAGATGAGGAGGTGGAGTGCGCAGCAGGTGTTTGGTCTGAATCCTTGGGGGTTTTTGGAAACAGGTCTTGGTGTATGGCGTGTAGACTGGGCTCACTTTTGCAGTGATCCTCCTGCCTCAGCCTCCCAAGTGCTGGGGTGAAGGCACGCACCGAGGCATCCGGCCCACTGTGGCACTTAGAGCATGTGCTGGTGGTCGGGGCAGTTACGAGCTTAGCCAGTGCTGAGGGAAGGGACAGTCGCCTTTCGCGGGAGGAGGGCCTATGCAAGTCCCCCTGCGGCCCCAGCCAGGAGCTGGAGGTGACTGTCCCGAGCTGTCTGGGGAGCCTGGAGCAGGGCACTGCCATCTTTTTCCTCACCAGGGCCTGGCTGTCCCAGAGGGCAGCTGCTGGTGGCCTTGGGTACAGTGGATCGGGCAGGGTGCTGGGCCCAGGCCAGGGATGGTTCAGGGCAGCCGGGCCACCACTCAGGGTCACGGCAGCGACTGCGTCCGGAGAGCGCCGTGTCCCACAGGACCCCTGGGTGAGTGCACTCTCTCCCCTGCACAGATGAGGAGACAAGGCACAAAGGGACTAAGTGGCCGGGTCAGGGTTCAGGTCTCTGCTTGGCTGCAGGACCAACGCTGTCCCGCACCGTAGCACTTGCTTTTATTTTTTTTTTGTCTTTTTGAGACAGGGTCTCACTGTGCAGTTCAGGCTGGTCTTAAGGTCACTTTGTAGCCCAGGCTGTTTTCAAACTCATAACGATCCTCCTGCCTCAGCCTCCTAAGTGCTGGGATTATAGGCATGCACCCCCCCCCCCGGCAGTACTTTTTAATTTAGTTTTTTTGTGGGGCTGGGGATTGAACCCAGGGTCTGTGCCTAGCAACTGCATCTCCAGTCCTTTTATTTTTCTCTGTTATTTATTATTATTATTATTACTGAGGTTTTTTGGAGGCAGGTTCTGCTCTACAGTTCAGGCTGGTCTTGAACTCACTTTGTAGCCCAGGCTGGCCGGGAACTCACAGCAATTCTCCTGCCTCAGCCTCCTGAGTGCTGGGATTATAGGCTTGCACCACCACGCCTGGCTAAAATAAATAGAGATACTTTGAATGTGAAGTATGGATGGCTGAAGGCAGACTCTGGCCCGGGGAACAAAAACCGTCTGGGGGCGCCCTCTCTGTCGGAATTGTGCTGTCACCTGCTGTCTGTGAGTTTCACTTTCCCTGTCTGAACCGCTGGGGCGGGGCGCCCCTCAGAAGCCGGTTCTGGGGAGCAGCCCGAGCCTTTCTCGGGGCCCCTGACGCAGCTCTCCCCGGGGTGTGGAGAGACGGGGCTGGGGCCGGCTGCCGGCCGCCCTTGCTCCTCGGACCTGGGTGGAGCAGGGCCCGCTGGGAGGCGTCCAGAGAGCCTCGGCTGACCGTGCCACCCCTTGGTGTTTTCCGTTCTCTCCTGTGGTAGAAAACACTCGCAGATGCCCTGCTTCTGCCCCCCAGCGCCCGATTTGCCCACCCAGGCCCCGGAGAGCGCGGAGCCAGGGCCGGGCCTGCGGCGTGGTGCAGGTGACCGGGGTTCCAGGGAGTGCTTATAAATTTCGGGCTTAGAGTTCTTCCTTTTTTTCTTTTTAAAACTTTTTTTTTTTGAGATGGTCTGACTGTGTAGTCCAGGCTGGTCTCTAGAACTCACTGTGGGGGCCAGCTGGCCTCACTCCCGGCCATCCTCCTGCCTCAGCCTCCCCAGTGCTGGGTTCACAGGCGTGCGCCAGCATGTTGATCGCGTCCCTCGAGCGGAGTTGGTTGGGCCACGCCCCGCTCTGTGCTGCTTAGGTTCCCTCCCTTGTGTCCCTCCGCCTGTCTCCCGTCTGCTCCCCTCTGCAGATCGCTGTCCGTTTCCTGTGACCTGGCTTTGTTTCTGCTCTTTAATTTCTTTACGCTTTGTGAGAATTATTCTGCACATAAGCAGGACTTTCGTTAGAATTTAGGGTTTGCTAGCTTAATTTGTAATTTGAGAAACCAGAATTGAGATTGAGAAAGAAAGTGGCTTCTTTTAAGTTGTCTTTTTTCTTTTTTCCAGTGAGCAGAGCCAGTTGGTGGTGACGTCCCGGACCCTTGGTGTTACGGTTGTGTCTGGGTGTCCCCCAAAGCCTCATGCAGTCGTGGGGCGGCTTCTAGAGTTTGTGATTGATTCATGGTCCCGTGCTGGGATTATGGGTGTGAGTGTGCACCCACCCTGGGGCGGGCAGCCTGTGTACAGTGTGAGGGAGGGAAAGAGGCTGCCTGCCGCTGCACCTCCCTTTTGCTCTTGCTGCTCTTGCTGCTTCCACCGCCGTGAACTGTTGCCCTCTGCCATGTGCCCCTCTGCCTTGGAGCCAGCCGGGTATGGACTGAACGCCCCACAGACTGTGGGCTAAATAAACCTTCCCTTCCTTGATTCCGGGTGTCCGGTGTTTAGTGCCAGCAAGGAGAGAAAGTAACTGAGCATTGGTGAGGTCGCCCCCAGCCCTGTGGTCTGACCTCGCTGCTGCTCGTCAAATACCGTCTGAAAGCTGGCACAGCGCGTGGCCCTGCGCCTTGGAAATACACCTGCTCTCCAACTGTGTTTTTTGTCTTTTTGAGAATGTGTCTCACTCTGTAGCTCAGGCTGACTTTGAGCTCTCGGCAATCCTCCTGCCTCAGCCTCTCAAGTGCTGGTATCATGGGCCTAGCCCAGTATGTCTAAAAACTTTCCTTTTTTGGTTGTACTTAGGATTAACCCATGGCCTTCACGCTGAGCTGGGTCCCCAGACTCAAACATTTTTGGTTTTAAAACAGGATTTCACTAAATCACTAAGTTGCCCAGGCTGGGCTCAAACTTGTGATCCTCCTGCCTCAGCCTCCCGCGGTGCTGGGATGACAGGCTTGCCCACCTCACCTGGCTAGAAGCAGTCCAACTGTGAGAGTTGGGTGGCTGCACCTGGCTGCGTCTGCCGTGCTGGGACGCAATGACTTGAGTCTTGACAGACCTGCATGTAGTCAGAGCTGTGTAAATGGGCGCTCGCTCGGATTTCCGTGCAGTGAGGCCCTGAGAGGCCAAAGGTGGTGAGGCTGTGAGGCAGGTCTTCACTTGGTGTCCTGTGTTGTTCTAAGTGTGAGCGGCCTTGGTGTTTTTTCTTTTTGTTTGAGGTAGGGTCTCACTATGTAGGTCAGGCTGGCCTTGAACCCATGGAGGCCCTCCTGCCTCAGCTTCTGCATACTCTGGTTGCAGGTGTGCGCCCCGTGCCCGCTGGCCTTTGACTTCTTACTGAGACTGCTCAGCCTGGTTTCAGGCTTCAGCGTGGAGCCTGCCTGCAGCTGCTCTTGGAGCCCTGCTGGCCTTCGCCCCGGCCCTGACTCACGGCTGTTTTTAGGTCTGCCCCAGCTACGTGGTCCGAGTGACTCCGTGACTCAGCTGGGGAAAGAGGCCTGGGCACGGCAGCCGGCGGCATCTCACACCTGAGCGTCTCCTGGTCGCTCTGCTGGCCCGGAGTGGCTGTGTGCCCGGGTTTCTCTCCTTCAGTCCAGCCCAGGGCCTCGGGACCGAGCCCACAGTGGCTGCCCGCTGGGCAGCGGCCCCACTCCCCGCCTCTGCCTGCCGCCCTGGGCACCTCAGGGAGCGTGTGGCCTCCAGTGGGGCTGTGTGGGCCGGGCTCGGTCACCTGGAGGCCGCGTCCTGCCTAGCTGTGCAGTGACCTCTCAGCCCCGAGGGTGTAGGTCACAAGCTGTGATCCAGAGGACACACAGAAACCCAGCAGGGAGGGGTCTTTCCCTTCACACACGTCCGTGTGTTTTGAGGTTTTGTTTATTTTTGAGACAGGGTCTCACTGTAGTTTAGGCAGCCTTGAAGTGTGGACTCCTCCTGCCTCAGCCTCCAGAGTGCTGGGATGACAGGTGTGCGCCACCATGTGCTGCTCACTCTCACACTTTGGGTACATACTGGACTTTAAATCAGGTGTGATGGCACACACCAGTGATCCCCGCGCTCTGGAGGCTGAGGCGGGAGGGTTGCCAAGAGTTCAGGACCAGCCTGAACGGTACAGTGAGACGCTCATCCAGAGAAAATACAACAAAAGCCAGCCCTGGGTCTAGAACCTGGCACGGTGCCATTCATGGCCTGGTGTAGAGCAGCTGTGCTGTCTCGGGCAGAGGCGCGGGTGTGTGTCCATGGCCATGATAACACAGGAGCCGGGAGACCCTTCTCCAGGCGTCGCCCTGCCCATCCTAGCCCTGCCACCTGTGGGGGGCGTGGGTGTTTCCAGGCCGCGCCCCCAGGGCTCGTGCTGACGGCCGCTTTGCTCGCAGGCAGGGCCGAGCCGGCAGCATGGCGCAGTGGAACCAGCTGCAGCAGCTGGACACGCGCTACCTGGAGCAGCTGCACCAGCTGTACAGCGACAGCTTCCCCATGGAGCTGCGGCAGTTCCTGGCGCCCTGGATCGAGAGCCAGGACTGGTGAGTGTGCAGGGGACAGGCCGGCACGGGTGGGGACGGTGACAGAGCGCGGCCTGGGCGTGGAGCGACCTGCGGGGACCGAGGCGCGGCGGTCTCCTCCCGGGGGCCCTCTGTGCAGAGAATTACTTGGCCGTTGCTGCCTCTCACGTGTGGGTTGCGTGAGTTCCCAGCACCTGGGGAAATGGTTAGCAGGGGCTAAGTTGTTCCTGAGCAAGAAAGACCAGGAGCGCCAGTGAGTCCGGGCAGCGGGCCTGCCCTGGTTTCTGTGTGGTAGTTTTTGGCCCTGGTTATGGAACCCACCACCTTTGCACTGAGTTCTGTCCCCAGCCCTTTTTAAATTTTTGAGATGGGTTCCCCCTGCCTCAGCCTCCCAGGGTGCGGGTCTCAGAACCGGTCCTCTTGTGCCGCCTCCCCAGGGCGTACGCAGCCAGCAAGGAGTCGCATGCCACGCTGGTGTTCCACAACCTCCTGGGTGAGATTGACCAGCAGTACAGCCGCTTCCTGCAGGAGTCCAACGTCCTCTACCAGCACAACCTGCGCCGCATCAAGCAGTTCCTGCAGGTGCGGGCGGGTCCGGAGCCTGAGCGCCTCCCCGCCCCCACTCGCCCCACACCATTACCAGGAGGGCCCAGCTGTGTCCCCGCGAAGGCCCTGCGGCCTCTCTCGTGACGGGGAGCACCTCACGTTCATCATGCCTGCCCTTGAGGCCTGCCTGTACATCAGACATGGGGTGACAAAGCCCGCCACCTCCAAGCGAGGTCGAGATGACATATGTCCAGAGACTCAGGCCCACAGATTTCCGTCCCCAGCATGACCTTGGCCCAGTGCTGGCTTTCAACTCACTGTGTAGCACAGGCGGGCCTAGATCTCGCAGCAGTCCTGCCTCAGCCTCCTGAGGGCTGGGATCACAGGCGTGCGCCACCACCCCCAGCTGGGCAGAGAAACCTTTCAGCTGACCCCACCTCCATGGGCCACCTCAGCCTCAGCTTCCCGCACTGTTCTCCCTACAGAGCAGGTACCTGGAGAAGCCCATGGAGATCGCGCGCATCGTGGCCCGGTGCCTATGGGAAGAGTCCCGCCTCCTGCAGACGGCGGCCACCGCTGCCCAGGTGAGACCGGGCGGGAGCAGGGCCCCCCAGGAGGTGTGGCAAGCCCTGCGGTGTGAGGTGCAGTCAGCTCTGCCGTGAGTAAGCTAGAGAGAAACACCCTAAACAGCTGTGTAACATAAGAGTGCATCGGCCAGGCGTGGTGGCGCCCACCTGTCATCCCAGTACTGGGGAGGCTGAGGCAGGAGGACCGCCGTGAGCTCAAGGCCAGGTTGGGCTACATAGCAAGACTCTGCCTCAAAAACCAAAAACCAAAACAAAACAAAAGTTTTATTCTAGCCAAGTGTGGGGGTGCAGGCATGTAATCCCAGCACTTTGGGAGGCTAAGGCAGGAGCATCACAAGTTCAAGCCCAGCCTGGGCAACTATTAAGAGCCTTTCTCAAAAAGAAGAAAATAACAGGACTGGGATGTAGCTCAGTGAGAAGAGCCTGGTTTCAGTGCTCAGTACTGCAAAAAGCAAAATGTAAATAAAAAATAAAACCGGCGAGTCAGGCCTGCTCTGGAGACTTGGGGCTGCAGAGAGGGCAGATTGGGACCACGGATGTGAAGCGGAGCCCTGGGCGCAGAGGTGGCTGTGACAGCTCACAGGGGCAGGCGGGAGGGCGGCGGCTTAGCTTGACATCAGGAGGAAGCCGGGCGCCCGAGAGCCCCCTGCTTGGAAACTTGGATGATAACATCTCCGTGCTCAGCCACCAACAGGCTTCATGGGGTCGCTGACCTCAGGGTGGGCTTTCCCTCTCTGAGATCTTGTCCATCTGGACAGGACCTCGTCCCCAGCAGGACTTGTCAGGTGGGGTCTGTAGTCCAGGCTGGCCTGGAACTCATGATCCTCCTGCCTCAGCCTCCTGCAGCTTCAACTGCGGGTCTCCCCACCACACTGGTCGCTAGAGGACACCTTCATTCCACAGAAGTATCGCACACTAGTTGTTTTTAACTTTGGCGGTACTGGGGTTGAACCCAGAGCCTTTCCACGGAGCTGCACCCCCAGCCTGTTCTATTTTTTATTTTGGGACAGGTTCTTCTTACCCAGCTACCCAGGCAGGACTCCAGCTTGCCACCCTCCTGCCTCAGCCTCCCTAGTGTTTGGGCCACAGGCGTGCTGACTTGTACACCTTGCTGAAATTGGCCAGCGTCTGCCGTGGCCAGTTCTGGGTTTACCCGTTTATTTCAGCAGCGTGGGCTTGACCGTGCTGCGGCATGGGCTTCCGCCGCTCGGCTCCCGGTCCCGTCTGCGTTTCCCTGGCTGTGCACCCTGGGCTGGGGTCGGTCAGAAGGCGGTGGCACGTGGACAGCAGCTTCAGGGCATCCTGGGCACCACACCCACAGCATTCGTGCCTCAGTTTCCCCTCATGTCTCGGGGGCAGCATCTGGAGACGTGGGGGGCGCGGGTGGAGGCCGGGGCTGACTCCCAACCCCGTGGTCACAGTGTGTGTCTCCCCTCCCACAGCAAGGGGGCCAGGCCAGCCACCCGACGGCGGCCGTGGTGACGGAGAAGCAGCAGATGCTGGAGCAGCACCTGCAGGACGTGCGCAAGCGGGTGCAGGTGAGGGTGCTGCGGCGCCGGCCTGGGGCAGGGGCGGGTGCTCTGGCGGGAAGCGGCCTCACTGCTAGTTCCATTGCTTGCTCCACACAGGACCTGGAGCAGAAAATGAAAGTGGTGGAGAATCTGCAGGACGACTTTGACTTCAATTACAAAACCCTCAAGAGCCAGGGAGGCAAGCAGGCGGGGGGATGCTGGGCGCGGGGCCCAGGCCCAAGGTGGGGACTGTGTCTTTGTGGGGCGCTCAGCACTGGGTGGGGCCTTGCTGTTTGCTTTGTTTTGGTTTCTTGAGACAGGGTCTCCTGTGTAGTCCAGGTTGGCCTCAAACTCAGGGCGACCCTCCTGCCTCAGCCTCCTGAGTGCCAGGATCCTGGCTGTGCCCGGTGGCAGGGAGGCGGGGCCCTCAGCCCTGTCGTGTCCCAGCAGATATGCAGGACCTGAACGGGAACAGCCAGGCCGCCACGAGGCAGAAGATGCAGCAGCTGGAGCAGATGCTGACGGCACTCGACCAGATGCGCAGGGTGAGTCCCCGGCGGGGGTGTGTGTGCAGGGTGCCGGGTGCCTGCAGGGAGACCGTACTGACTCAGCCGACCCGCGGGGTTTGAGCAGAGCATCGTGAGCGAGCTGGCGGGGCTGCTGTCCGCCATGGAGTATGTGCAGAAGACACTCACGGACGAGGAGCTGGCCGACTGGAAGCGACGGCAGCAGATCGCGTGCATCGGGGGCCCCCCCAACATCTGCCTGGACCGCCTGGAGAACTGGTGAGGCGCCGCCAGGGCCGTCCCCCTCCCTGTCTGCTCCCTCTCTCGGAGGTGCTCTGCCGCTGGGCTGCGTCCGCACCCCTGTCCTGTGCTGGGGCCAGGGTGAGCTTCAGTCCACCAGAGGTGGGGCCTGAAGAAGGGCTCGTGGGGCGCCGTGGCCCCTCCGTGCGGTGAGAGCATCTTTCCGTGCGGCCGTCTCGGCGATGTCAAATCTTGAGCGAGAACAAAATCGACAAGGCAAAGCAAACGCCAGCGACCCCGCACCCACGCTGAAAGCGTCCGCGCAGTGCCACGCGTGTGCTACCAGGGTAGCAAAGCCCAGTGCAGTTTCGGGGCGCCCGGCGGAGTTTGATACTGTACACGCTCGCCCCGGTGACCCGATGGCGTGTCCCGGCAGGATAACCTCGCTGGCGGAGTCGCAGCTGCAGACGCGGCAGCAGATCAAGAAGCTGGAGGAGCTGCAGCAGAAGGTCTCCTACAAGGGCGATCCCATCGTGCAGCACCGACCCATGCTGGAGGAGAGGATCGTGGAGCTGTTCAGGAACCTGATGAAGAGGTGCCTAAGCGCCTCCTCTGCTCCTGCAGTTAGTCACATGGGTGTGATTTGCTTGAGGCAGTGCCTCACTGTGTAGCCCAGGATGGCCTGGAACTTGGGGCAATCCTCCTGCCTCAGCCTCCTGAAAGCTGGGATTCCAGGTGTGCGCCAGGACACCCGGCTTCCTGTTGCCTCGTTTAAAAAAGAAGAAATGGTGTCCTGAAGTGAGAGGCTGGCTGACTTGGGGGGGAGGTACAGGCCGGAGCTGGGGCCACAACCCACGTGACAAGCTGTCTCCTCCCCCAGCGCCTTTGTGGTCGAGCGGCAGCCCTGCATGCCCATGCACCCCGACCGGCCCCTGGTCATCAAGACTGGCGTCCAGTTCACCACCAAAGTCAGGTGGGCCCACTTTTCTGCTCCGGGGGCTTCTGGAGGGACGCTCAGGGCCAGGAGAGGGCCGGCTGCCCAGCACAGGGCACATTCCTTGGTTTTGGAGCTGAGGCCTCGTTCTGTGGCCCAGGTTGGCCTCGAGCTCCAGGGACCCCGAGGGGCTGGGACCTCAGGCCTGGCTACCGCCCCCGGCTCAGACTGCTCTGTGACACTGCAGTCAAAGCCAGGGACCCGGGCTGGTGCCTCGGGGGTGGGGGAGCGGGGCCCAGCGGGAGCGAAGCCTTACTTCCGCAGCCATCCAGGGAGCGCCCCCGCGTCCTCTGGCGAGAGGGAGAGGAGCGAGGAGCTGCCCGCTGTGGGTCTCTCTGAGCAGTGGGTCTCTAAGTAGTGGGTCTAAGCGGCTTTGATCCTGCTTGTCTTCTCATGCCAGGGGCTGAGGCCTCCTGGGGGGCGGCTTTTAGTCCTATGGAGCCGCAAGGGCTGCAGCTGCACCCCGAGCCAAGCTGTGGCCATGGCTGGGGCGGGGTTTGGGCGGAGGGTGCTCCCGGGCTGAGCCTGCTGCTGCACCCAGAGCTGGGTTTCCTTCCCTTTCCCAGGCTGCTGGTCAAGTTCCCGGAGTTGAATTATCAGCTGAAGATTAAAGTCTGCATCGACAAGTAAGTGTGCCCCCCCCCCAGGGTCACAAGGGAGGGGCGGGGCGAGGAGCCTCCTTCAGAGGGCTGCCTCCCTGGGGAGGGGGGAGGGGGAGGGAAAGGAGGGGCCTGGGGGTGGAGCCTGGGGGCAGAGCAAGGCCCTGAGTTCCAATCCCAGCACCACCAGGAAGAGAGTCACTCTGCCCGGACACTTAGCGGTAGCCGTTACTGCACTTCTCAGTTCAGGCCCAGCGTACCTTTTAGAGAAGTTAGAGAGGAAACAGTGTGTGCTCACACAGACGAAACAGGCTTGCAAGATTTCCTGACAAGGGGAGTAAGTCACAGTGAAATCAAGGAGGTGATGAAGCTGGTAGCTTTAATGGATAAGTAGACAAGAGCCGGGCATGGTGCCGCACACCTGTAATCCCGGCACTCGGGAGGCTGAGGCAGGAGGATCCTTGCGAGTTTGAGACCAGCCTGGGCTACAAAGTGAGCTAAAGGCCAGCCTGAACCTGCATAGCCAGACCCTGTCACAAAAAGACAAAAGGGGCCTGGGGATATAGCTCAGTGGCACAAGTGTGAGGTCCTGAGTTCAATCCCTGGTACTAAAAAAAAAAAAAAAGACAAAAAAAAAGTAGGTGAGAATTGGTAACTATGGAAGGCTGAGGCAGGAGGGTCACTCCAGTTTGAGGCCAACCTGGACTACATACTGAGAGACCCTGTCTCAAAAAAAAAAAAAAAAAGAATTGGTAACTTTAGCCATGTGCTAGCTTAAAAACAGAAAAATGATTTCACAAAAAGCAGCAGAAATAAAAAATATTGTGGTAAAATTAATAACTGCTTTAGGATCTATTGGGAGAAAACTCTGAGATTTTAGTGAGGGAGAGGTAGTTTAAAAAGTAATGGGACATTGGGCCAGGGATGTAGCTCAGTGGCACAAGCGCCTGCCTGGCTAGCGCGAGGTCCTGAGTTTGATTCCCGGTACCAAAAAAAAGGGATGGCATGTCATATTCCTGACCTGCAAAGAGTAATTTCATTCTTCCTGGGGAGTGTATCACTAGCTAGGATCTGAAGAGGACTGTTTAAAATCTACAAAATTCTTTCCAAGTTACAGCTTAGCTAAAAAAAAGTAAGCAAAGATAGCAAACCATTTTCCCATTTTGTTTTGTTATTTTTTTTTTAATTTTTTGTCTTTTTGAGACAGGATCTCACTGTGCAGTTCAGGACAGCTGTGAGCTCACTTTGTAGCCCTGGCTGGTCTCGAACTTGCAATGATCCTCCTGCCTCAGCCTCCCGAGTGCTGAGATTACAGGTGTGCACCACCACTCCTGGCTTTTTTTTTAACTTCTGTCTCTTTGATAATCATCTTTTCCTTTCCAGGCTCCTGTGTTCCTTTTTTTTTTTTTTCCTGGGTACTGGGAATTGAACTCAGGACCTCATGCTTGCCCGACAGGCGCTGTGCCACTGAGCTACATCCCGGCCCTGTTTTGTTATTTTTTGAGGTCTCACTATGTAGTGTAGGCTGGCCTTGAACTCACGGCAGTCCTCTTGCCTCAGTTCCCCGAGTATTAGGAATGTAGGCATGTACCACCACATTCAGCCAATATACTGTTTAATTAAAAAATGTTAAAAGGTAGTAAAATTTTAAAAATGCCTAACATGAAGTTCACCGTGGTATTCACATGTCAGTAGGCAGTGTGGGAGTGCTGAGTGCATTTCAGTTGTTATGCAGCAGGTCTGCAGGAGGTCTTCACCTTACAGAACCGAAACTTTCCTGACCGAGTGCCTGTTCCTCAGTTCCCTTTCCTTTTACATTGCCGCAGCCACTGTTATATTTTAAAAGAAAGCAAATTTTATTTTTTTCTTCTTGAGTCCTGGGGCTTGAACTCAGGGCCTCACACAGGCTAGGCAGTGCTCTGCCATGGAATAGCAGCCCTGTCCAGTCTTAATTCTTGAGAAAGCATCTTCCAAGGTGCCCAGGCTAGGCTGAACTTGGGATCCTCCTGCCTCAGCCTCCTGAGTAAGTGGGATGACAGTGAGCAGGTGCCTGGCTCCAAAGCTGGGGTTTTTTTTTATTTTGGTTTTTGTGTTTTGGGGATTTTTGGCTTTTCGAGACAGGGTCTCGCTGTGCAGTCCACACTGGCCTCAAACTCATGGTGATCCTCCTGCCTCAACCTCCCAAGAGCTGGGATAACAGGTGTCCACCATTGCAGCCAGCTCAGGTTGTGAAATGCAACAGATGGAAAGATTGCTTCGGAATGGTTCGAAAGGATCAGTTTTTCTCTGCAAATCCACATGGAGTGCACGATGTAACAGCAGCTGCTACCCTAAAAGTGTAGACGAACGTACAGAAGTAGAGGGGAGCTTTTCAAGCGGTGCTGAAACTTTTACAGAAGGTGAATGCTGAGGAGTGTGCCTGTCTGAAAGGGAAAAAATCAAAAAACACGCGGATAATTCCAGCTCTCTCAAAGGAAGGCTTCTCGCTAGGTGTGGTTATGCACACCTGTCATCCCAGCACTCGGGAGGCTGAGGCGGGGGAATTGCTGTGAGTTTGAGGCCAGCCTGGGCTACATAGTGAGACCCTGGCTCAAAAAATGAAAGAAAGAAAGAGAATGCGTGTGACCACGTAGTTTTGAGATTTCCAGGGCGCCGGCCTCGTCCCCACCAGCAGGGGGGACAGCAGGGATCAGCGTGACACATGCCTGGCTTACTGACCTCCCCTGTCCTCCACAGGGACTCGGGGGATGTGGCGGCTCTGCGCGGGTAAGTTCAGCCCGAGGTGCCCGGCGTGGGTTCAGGCCCAGGCCCCGGGTCCCGGGGCAGCGTGGTCACCCCGGGCCACCCTCGCCCACTCAGATCCCGGAAGTTCAACATCCTCGGCACCAACACGAAGGTGATGAACATGGAGGAGTCCAACAACGGCAGCCTCTCGGCGGAGTTCAAGCACCTGGTGTGTGCGGGGCGCGCCTGTCCTGTCCCAGCCCCTGCCCCTGCCCCTGCCCGCACCCTGTCCCCGCCGCCCCCGTCTCCGTCCCTGTCCCCAGCTTGGAGACACGCACTCGCTCTCTCTTGCAGACGCTCAGGGAGCAGAGGTGTGGGAACGGGGGCCGCGCCAACTGTGACGTGAGTGTCCCTGGGAGCAGCTGGGGCGGGGGTGGGGTGACCGCCGGGCGTCAGGACTCCAGCCGGCTCAGCAGCGTGGTCATTTCAGAGTCACTGCAGGCCGAGGTGCCTGGCTGCTCTGGTGCAGAGCGTTCCCCAGTGTCAGGAAGCCCCGCATACGGGACAGGTGGCCGGTGCCCCGCAGGCTTTCCGGGCTGCACTTCTAGCAACCTGTTTCCTCACTGAGATGGCAGAGGGTGTTAGCGGAGTAAGTCTGGATTAAACCTTAAAAAACTCCAAACCAGCTGGGTATGGTGGCGCACACCTGTAATCCCAGCACTCGGGAGGCTGCGGCAGGAGGATCGGGAGGATCGTTGTGAGTTCGAGACCAGCCTGGGCTACAAAGTGAGCTCAAGGTCAGTCTGAACTGCATA